TAAATTCGCGCTCTAGCCACTTGGGTCATCTCGCCCCTGCCATGTGTTCTACGTGAGAACAAATTGTACGGAATCAGCTAAATACACTCATTTGCAAAAAAATTTGGTAATGCGAGAGGCTCACCTGGAACCCAGCTGAATCTTTCTTTTATGATGTTTCTAAGCGACTGAATGTGCCGCACCAGTTCGCCTCAGTTTTCAGTTCGTACGATAATTGAGACCACAAAAGAAAGATCCAGCTGAGTTCCAGGTGAGTGATTAAAACAAGTTTGTTTGCAAATGAGTGTATTTTGCCCTGTCTCAGATCAACCACTACCAGTCCGGCAATGCTGAATTACTAAAACCTTGAGTTCAACATAAATTATGGTGTATACTTATCCAGGTCAGTCGTTTTTCCCTGCCTCTATCAATGCGCATTGAATATGCATTGCATAAACATATACATGTGCATATTACATATGCTTACATAACACTAAATATGCTTCATTGTGGTCTAGAGCTACCTGCAACTGAGAGGTATATGTCTATGCAAGGCATTGAAGTCATGTTCCTGAAGCTTCCCGGCATTAGTGCAAAGTAACTGAACCAGCTGCGCGTGAGCAAGGCGAAGATGACTTTATTAAAAACTTCAAAAAATGTGCCACTAAGTATCCATAGTTCCAACGATTTTCTAAATAAGTCAACAACGAATTCAGACCCCCAATATTTACGTCCTGATATATAATCATGGGTTATGTAAACTGATCCTTGTAGGCTATCTTCTGAGAAGCAACCTGAAGCTTTCGCCGAGCTTGGCGGTTGGATTGCAAACGTTTCATCGCCTATCGAGCTGAAATCGTCAGTGCGGTGTTGAGTGTGTCAACCTCACACTGACGATGTCACCTCGATGAAACGTTTGCAATCCAACCGTCAAGCTCCGCGGACAGACTAACAACCGATCGGCGCACCCGAGCTACCCATATTCCACAACATTGCTACTCTGATTCCCAGTATGGATGGAACAGATGTAAGTGGTGATCGGCTATTCGACGTGGGTCGGTTTCATCTACAGAATTAAATATCAGAACTGCTAACCAAGTGGTAACAATAATTTCACTCACCGCGTTCTAGTAAGAACTTTAACCACACCTCTAATAAAACTTCATATCCAAGCCCACTTCATTGTGAACATCGCCTGCTCCTTGAGAATCGAGGATGAACCATTCTGACAACTCTCAACTGACACTCTCATATCACAAACACTGAAATTCCACAAAACAAGTGTTATTAAAGTGACTAGCAAAGGGACAAAACCACCCCAGTTCTCTCCCTCTCACCACGATTCCCTGTTTCAACATTTGAGAAACATTGTGGATTAAAGAAAAAATTAACGGAAGAGCTGGAAACGAGAATCAAACCGAAAGTGAGAAAGTTGTATGGACTTACTGGAATGTATAAAATGTTCAACATTTATCGACAGAAGGTTGACCAAGCTAATAGGTGCATTTTACACTTTAGCTAACTTACAATGTGAACGGCCCTTCCGATAAATCTACGTCCAGATGAATAATACCGAATAATTTGTGTTTTATAGCATTGTTCCCAATCAAAACTTAGCAAAGGAGATGTAACGATGTTGCTAACGTTTTTCTACTAATTGAACGTCACAAAATGTGCATAGTAAACAATACCCAACAGGAATGAACCATATTCATTTTTTTGGAAAATCAGTTATGTAAAAATAAAAACAACTGTTAAAATTTTAACGTCAAGTTCACGTGGCGAGTCACGCAAACATGATCAGGCCAAGATACGTTGTAACTGAATCGTTCCAATCTTGTGTGAATTTACAACAATATTGAAAATATATGTTGAAAATATATGATATTTGCGGAAGCCTTACCGGTACGTACGCGCTGGGTAGCGTCGAAAAAACTTGTTTTTTATTCGCATTTGACGTTCTTTTGGATTTTCCGATTAAGTCAGTTTATTGAACATGTTAGCGGTTGACGTAGCTTTTGTTGTGCTCCTTTTTTGGTAGGAATTGTTCAGTCAACCAGATTTGACGTAAGCACTTCACATACGAAGTAGATCGCAGGAAGCCTTTAATATGTGATGTGGTCATATGGTACACATTAACTGGTATGTCATTCATAAGAAGACACTTTACGGATATCCAGGCACATCTGACAATTTCCCGGAAAGCAGTAGGTGGACAGGAGGTTGAAAAATCAAGACAATGAAACGTGGTCAGTAGTTGTACAATCCTGTGCTAAGGCTGTGATCTCAAAGCAAGGAATTGATTAATTAGCCTAAACGCACGATCTATCCGACAGGTAACGTGTAGTCTGATTCACCAACGGATGGTCAGTAATAATTGTGGCGAAACCGAATTCTACGAACTTCACCTGCGCTTGTTCAGTAGTCGCAACTGGGCAGTGAACTACAACATTGAATTGGACTTGGGCCGACAGTATAGCTGGGTAGACCGTGGTTCTATAGGAAATTAACAGTAAATCGTGAGGATAATTAAAGAAAGGCTTACGGCTAGATTGAAACATGGGCAGTTAGCAACACAGGATGGCACACGAAGGGCAGTGTGCTATCGGACAAACTACACGGGAAAAATGTTGTTCAGTTCAAAGTGGGACGAAATTTCAACAACAAGCCCGGAAATAAATGTAAGCAAATCGTCGGTAGAAAACCGGTTGAGGTAGAGTCAATTTTGTATAAAATAGAACAGTTCAGTCTTGAAACTTGAGCAGTCGCCGGAAGGGTGGAGAATTAGCCTGAGGACTAGGGAAACAAATAATTACGTCACGTAATTAACAGTAGGTCTGACATAAATCTTCGTTCCGCCCACAAGAGACATTGTTATTCTTCGGTGATCGATATTTAGTGCGATGAATACAAACTTATTTAGTCCTAGCGGGAATGCTTTTTTCTATAATTCTACAATAATGGGACACAGATTCTTCTGAAATTAGTGAAAACATGAATTTTTTTTGCTTCTTTTCAGATAGAGTTAACCTCAGTGTGTTAATACACATGTCGAACAAAGCACGGAATAGATTGTTGGGTGTTGCGCAGCACCAAGTTTGCAGAAGTTTTGCCTTGTATGTATGAGGTACCAAACTTCCACGGTTGTCCCAGTGCGATGGTAATGACCTTAACTGACAACAGCGGTCAACTTTACTAACGGTCGGAATTGACCTGTTTTTGGTGCTTTTTATCTGTCAATGCGTGACAGTATAACCCACGATTGTAATGCATCTAGCCAAGGATTTAACAGACTGTCTAGAGTTAATAATGGGGTGCGCGAGGTGCGTTGGCTCTAACGATTTTTCTCTGCGTATTTAAGGCTCTACAGATGTGGCAAGAGCTTGCCAACATAGTTTTATGCTTTATCGGCAGCTTAGTTGGTACTTTCCGTGATGGAGTAAAACGCCCCTAGTTTCAGCTAATAAGAGGACAGGATTGTCAAAAGACGAAATCGAGGTAAACTGATTCACGGGGCTCGGGGCATAACTCGATTCCTGCGCAACCCCACTACGTGAGTAATCCAGTAATTTTGTTATCCCGAACTTTGGCGATCAGTGACGATACCATGTTGTGTGATCGACCGTAATTTTGAGTACGCAGCGCGAAATAACCCTGACTGAACAAGAACATGCCTCGATTTTGTTGGTGTTGATGACACAAAAGCGTCCAAGATTGTGATTAAAACTTCATAATCCTTGGAAAAAATACCTATGAGGAAATTTTAATTATCACAAAGAACTTATCGAAGGGTTGGGTCACATTCCTGGAATTAATTTCTCATCAAAAAATTTTCTCGACAGGAAGTACAGCTATACCTGGGAATTGCCGGGCAAACCAACAGAAATAGGCATTCAAGTTCGTTTTATTGGAGGCAAATAAACCTGCCAAATGAATTTTGATAGTGTTTGACAATGAAAACTTTTATTAAAACATCACATTTGCTTTTGAAATTTCAGTGTGTTGTTATGCCGATCAACTAACAAAGAAAAGCCAAACACCTCAGAGTGCGACCATTCAGTGCGTCACACCAGTAAACAATATTGCAATAATTATATCTGACAAGATGGTGCGTGTCCAAAGCTACTCCGACTAGAAATCCCTGGGTAAAAGAAAATTAAGCTTATCTGTTGCTTTAGGCACCTCAAAGCTCCTCACAATGTCAACAAAAGCATTTAACTCGGAAGAAGGAGAAAAAGTTAAAGGATTCGAGAATTCCATCCGAAAAACCGTTACTCGAAGGGTCAGTCAATACGTGACCAAGTGATATGGATTCGCTGATCAATGGATAAATCTGGCTATATCCTAAGTGCCGGGTACTCTGTTGATTAGCCACTCGCGACCTGTTCGAACAATTAACCGGAAGGTCGCGTCTTCGTAACTCACTGGCTACCAGTGAGATAATGATCCCCAGCAGGGTGGAAACCGCTAAACAGTGACTCTTGGCTTTACTTGACCTAACTTACTGGAGGGAAGCTAGGTGAAACTACCCTAAAAACTGCTTGTTTTAGAAGAATTCGTTGGAGGTTGTGGTAAACGCTATCTCGAAAACGAAATGGTTTGAATGGCTGGAGGGATACACTACGACTAAAGTGTTTCGCGTATTGTGAGTGAAGGGACATTTGTCTGGTTGTTTAGTTACGCACTGGGTTGCACTAACGCATTTGACAATACAGCCTTGCAACAGCCTTAGTAGTGTACGTCTCAGAATACTAACTACTTAGGTTAAGGTCATTCAAAAGGTTTCCGCATGCCACATTTTTGGCTATTTTGTTTATTGTAATTAAGTAATGGATGAATGCCATTTTCAACCGGCCTACAGTTTTCACTTACACCTCTATTCTAGTTTAACTAAGAGAATCCAGTCAAAGTTACAAAACGTTCCATCGAAATTCCTAAACTCTTACAGTTTTTTAATTGGCAGAAATGCAAATCACCTTTTGGCAACCTTCTACTTTTGGGTGTTTTTTTTACATTTGTAGGCCCGACGGAACGAGCTTGGGTGTCTCCTGTCAGAAGTCTGACCGGTTACTGTCGGACAGTCAAGTTTCATCGCCTCGACTATTTACGCTTGATTGGTGAAGCGACAACTGCTCGTAAGAACAGAGATACAGTTGGTTCCGGAATCTTTTGACAATCCGCGTTCAAACGACCCATAAATCACGAACAATTCCTAATTCACAAGGATAGTGCCGCCTTTAAAAAAATGCACTTTACAATTTCCATAGACATACATACATACATACATACATACATACATACATACATACATACATACATACATACATACATACATACATACATACATACATACATACATACATACATACATACATACATACATACATACATACATACATACATACATACATACATACATACATACATACATACATACATACATACATACATACATACATACATACATACATACATACATACATACATACATACATACATACATACATACATACATACATACATACATACATACATACATACATACATACATACATACATACATACATACATACATACATACATACATACATACATACATACATACATACATACATACATACATACATACATACATACATACATACATACATACATACATACATACATACATACATACATACATACATACATACATACATACATACATACATACATACATACATACATACATACATACATACATACATACATACATACATACATACATACATACATACATACATACATACATACATACATACATACATACATACATACATACATACATACATACATACATACATACATACATACATACATACATACATACATACATACATACATACATACATACATACATACATACATACATACATACATACATACATACATACATACATACATACATACATACATACATACATACATACATACATACATACATACATACATACATACATACATACATACATACATACATACATACATACATACATACATACATACATACATACATACATACATACATACATACATACATACATACATACATACATACATACATACATACATACATACATACATACATACATACATACATACATACATACATACATNAGATAGATAGATAGATAGATAGATAGATAGATAGAGAGAGAGAGAGAGAGAGAGAGAGAGAGATACTCCCCCGAAATATTTGAATTGCAGTTTCAGTCATTATTCCAAACTGCCTTTTTTGAGAATTTGGCGATCATTCCGACAGCCGACGTATGATAGTTTTTTACGACCAGCAATGAATAAATAAGTTATTATCTCGGCTGATTGGCAGTTTGCTTATCCCGTAAGTAGTGAGTGGTTTTCTTGTTTTTCAGCGTAGATCGGCTTCAGTTACGGGACAGAATATCCATAGAAAAGAACAAATCAGCACTTGCAAACTGCAAACCCGAGTTGTTTCGCGTAGACATCAATATCAGCTTGTTTTAAATTGTAGTAAGTGTTTCAGGTCTTCTTGGGGGTCGACACAAGTCGAGTGCCATCCTATCCCTAAACGTTGATTAGTTCTCATGCTGTGGCCTATTGTATCCGACTCGTTCTGGCCAAAGTCAGACGATTTAGACAGGAAAACTAGAAAGCCCAAGTAGTAGTCCACTGGAACTCTGAACAGTATGCAAACGTCACATGGAACTGGAACAATGGAACAAAGCAACGTGAGTGCATCAGAAACAACAAAACCGTATTGATCTGGGAAGTGCTGTTGACCGATTAGAACCAATCCTATTAGTGGAACAAGAAAGCAGTTTGTTTCGGGGCCAAACATCGTTCTTTGGACCTGCTAGACGCTCGAAGTCCTCTTGCTGCGGCTAATGTCAATACTGTCCTCTCTTCGTCCTTAGGAAACCAAACCTTCTTCCCTCAAGTGTATGAGTACACTGATTCCAAGATTTCTGGATTGATTGATGGAAAAAACATAAGAACAGAAGGCTTCTTTAGGACTCTCCGTCCAGATCATCGTGAATGGGTTTTGTCAGGTGGAAAATGATTGGAATCAGAAATTAACGAAGGGACAGGCGTGGTTCTGTGCAGTCAAACTTCGAGAAGCTGTTTCAGTGGTCGGAAAGATGGTCACTTGTGAGGGTTAATGTCCGCGTCATCTGGTTAGACAATGGTATAGTGCTTTTAAGGCCCATCGCGAATATGAACTGATCGCTTTTTCTGTTGACGCACAATTATTTGTGCAATTGACAAGTCTGATTTGGTCTCATCCAACAAAACCCGGTGGTATCCCCAACAGAGCAACAGCGGAGTTTTACTTTAGTATATGGGACTGGCGGCAGACATCATGCATATTTTTTAGTTCCGTAAAGTACACTTTCAGTTGCCCGATCGTCACTTCTACTCGGGGTAATTTCACAATCCCCACAACAGATTTTGTACACGAAGTCGGTTCGAATAATTGGATTGATGTGGTCTTTGGACTGCCACTTAAGTCTGTGTGTAAGTTATATCCCGGTGGAAAAAGTACTAATTCGCCGGGAAGTTTATTGTCTATAGGTGATCGGGACAGTCTGTTACGCCTACAACTGATCGGACAACTTTTCAGTGAAGGATAACACATTGATGCTCCCGAGCTGCCCAACAGTGACATCACTAAACACGGCAGCTTTGGATACCTAATCAGAACATATCATTTCATGCCTGCTTATCAATGAACTTACAGGCGGCGACAAGAAAAGAACTTCGTATACCATGTAAATTGAGTTGAACAAATCGAGCTTTAACATGACAAAGTTAAAGGCTCAGGGGGATGCTTGCGCTTTGCACTTCATGCGCAGACATTAAACCGTGTTCAGAAAATGTAGAAAGTCACCTGAGACCTCCCACTGCAAGGTGTCATCGACATAACGTAGGGGGAGTAGCAATTTATCCACCATTTGCTCTCCTTCGTTTTAGAAGAAATGGTTGCTACAAAGTGTAAAAGTGGAGAATTCATGCTCGCACAGTCTGTCTCTCTGTCTGTTTAAAAGTACAGGAAGTTGAACGTGGACGAAGCCCTATTTCTGACATGGTTTTCATAGCCATTAGTGTTAGTGTGAGTACGCATCTCACGATACCCGCGACCTTTTGAAACGGACGCTTAACCTTTTGGCCATGAGCGGCTGATCAGCGGTGTGATTAGCTCTCGCCTGGACAGAACATGGAGCCACTCATTCCTCAGTAGCGGGAACTGTATCACGTGACTCCCAGTTGCCTGGATCCTAGAATAACCACTTCTCAGAAGGAATTTTCACACATCCAGTGAAAGATTGTTTCCTCTGAGTTGCTTATTGCTCTGTGGTGATGTGAGGGTCTTTCTCCACCATGATGAATCCGGCCTCAAATCTCAAACTCACTCTCGTTCATAATTCTCTCGGCCTCATATGGCGATTTTTGTCTAAGCCTGTTAACGAAATTGGAAAAAGCTCCACAGTGGATTCGCAGATATTTTTGAGGCAACCACTTCAGTGGATGTGGTTGTATAATCCAGGACTGGTCTGTTTGGGGACCCGTTCTTTGTCAACTTTGCTGGGCCCTAAAATCTGGAAGCATTGTAGCTACCAGGATTCAAGAAGAACTGGTTGGGCTTCACGATGATTGGGTTTGTATAAACTATCGTTGGAATGTTGAAGAAACTTATTTCCGTAGCTTGCCTCGTCAACAAAGACGGTAGCATTCCGACTTTGGAATTTAATCGGATCTTTTGCTTTTCAGCTTTCGTTTGCACGATATTTTGATGTTGCCAGTTCTGAATCTGGCTCCATCTGCAGACTCGGCAGGTATTTTACTTGGAATTGCGCAGGATTTTCAGGAGAACACCCTGAAGTCTGAGCAGTTTTCTTAGGGTGCTAGAGTTTAATCCTTTCTGAGGCAACTGGACCTCGGATTAGCTCACAGTCTCCGAGAAACAGCTTTAGATAACAACGTCCATTGCAAGTTAAGCTGTTGAGAATAAATAGTGATTGACAGGGTATTCAGAACAAACTTTCAAGCTATTTCTTCCAACGTGTTTCAACACCAGGGAGTATTCCGTTGCCTATGAGAAAAACAGTGTGCAAGTGGTCTAAAAAGCTTACTTTTGCCATGAATGTTGAGTTCAGTCTTTTCTGCGGGCTGGTTAAACGTGGACTCTAAGGTCTCACCAGCCAACCTCTGTTGTTGAAGTTACCTAACCGCTTGGAACCGTTTTTAATGAGGGTTTCATTAGTTGTTTTGGTGATGAACATAGGTGGAAAAAGCAGGTAGAAATTAGCGAACGCCAAATCAGTCGGCTACTTACATCCAAAAATAAGATACAAACGTTGCATTGTTGGTGTTCCGCACGGCTTGTACTAGATACGACTGTCCGCCGCACTGGTTTTTCCTCCAAAGGAGAATCTTCTTGCAGTGCATTCCACAGTACCATCTTTGTCAACTCTGAGACACAAACTGATTTAGTGGAAATACGTCTGGGTTAGCGCAGAAAATCTTCCGTTCTCAGAAAGTCAAACGTTTGAACCAAACTTCAACTCCCAAATTGCAGTTGTTATTTCTGTTGGTTTTTTAAATCCAACTCTAAAGGTAAGTCCTATCAGACATTTTCTTTTCGAAGGTTCAGTCTACAGAAGACCCTAACTGGGAATGACAATTTGTGGTTTTAGAAGAAGCGCGATCTCCCACAAGTTCTAAGCAGCTTATGGATAACTGGTCAGGCGCAGCAAATCGCCCGATAAGCAAGCTCGGAGTCACGCTGTAAATCTAACCACCAGGTGGTCACCGACCTCAGTAGCGCTCACAGAAGATAAGAACCCGCTGTTTTTCTTCAAGTACAAAGTGACTCATAAGGCTGATAAAAAATCCTTGTCTGCCGTTGATTGGCTGCCTCCTGCCTGGACGTCATCGGGTAAAACTAGTCCCCGAATCCCCATCAACGGCACTTCCAACCCGAACATCGTTTTGTACGTATGATGTGAAACGAAATTACTTGCAAATGAACGCTGTGGTGACAATATTCTCGACGGCATTCCATGCTTTATGCTATTCTTCAGTTGATTAGAGACTGGTTTGTGTTCCCTTTTGAACGATATTCAAGGTATGGAAGTAGTTTACTCTCGAAAAAGC